AATTGCCCTGTTACAAAACTCCCATTTTTAAGTAACGGAGTTAATTTGGATTTTTCCACAAACCGGTGCATTTAGAATATTTGAAAGAATCGCATCCTGCGTCTCTGGGCTTTTATTACCGCGAGACTATGCCTATGTACTATGTGTGCCCCCTTGTATGCCGCAATCACTGAACTCCTAGAGATGAAAGCTGTGCAGCAAAGACTGGACGAGCACCGTACTTCGTCAGGGATCTAGAAACAATTTCCTATTTCTCTCGAATCCCGATCTGTTTACATGAGTGTTGTTTAATTTGTTAATTTGTGGTGTGTTTGAGTGAGACAACTTGGTGTTCATGAAATCTGTCAAATTAAATCATATTCGGAGCGTAATGTCCTGCGTAATTTGAAGGCAATTTTTAAAGCTAGCTTGGCCTGGTGTCCTGTTGTTTTGATTCTGGTAAATTGTAAAAATCCGGCTAGCTGGACTATTTTAGTTCGGGGTATCGAAAGTGTTTTATAAATGATTCTTCGAAAGGGCTATTCCCAAAAAGGGTGGTGCACATACATCGATAGATTACTAACTGGAAGCACGCAGCTTAAGATCGAAGGCTGGCATAGTTGTTCCCGTAGTACAGAATATCGGTGTTGGTATCTGGAAGTACTGGTATCTTTGGCATTGACAAAAAATTACTAGAAGTAATTTTGAATGCACCATTAACTTATTTATGCCCATAGAAGAAGGAACAGGTGCCCTTAGGTTAATAGCATCACTCTCGGATGCAACAAACAATAGCAGTGGTGAGGAGCGGCAACAAACACTTGCAAAGTCCAATTATTTATTTTAGAACTAATTGCCGTAATTACCGAATGCCCGTCACATTCAAAGGCACAGCCGCCTGTGCCTCATGGGCAATACTTTCGCGAATTTGCTACTGTTATTACCGTAATAAGCATGGGATGCAGCTGCAGCGGCGAAGGGAAACGACGTGGCTGCTGCAGCGGCAGCAGCTGATCCACGCAACGATGACGATACACCAGGGTAATAATTCTGTGTTCCACCGGCAGCATACATTCCAGCGTAGTTTGCACCAGAATAGCTACTGTTATAGTAGGGCGAGGCACCGATTATTCGAGAATCTGCAAAAAATCGTCCTCTGACTGGAACTTTTTAGTGTCTCAAGGTACGATCGGTGAAGTGGTGCAAAATCGTCAAAAAATGGCACTGAGAGATCACCCACTGTAAGTGGGTACTAGTTCCTTTAGCTCAAAAGGACCCCATAAGACGCCATTCCATATCCTCTATTGGTTCCTGTCTTTCTTCCTCACTTATCCACGGCAATATTCACAATATTCAGAGAAATAGTAAATTTTTTCATCTCCAATGAAGACAATAGTTAGATCCGCCACACAATTCATTCTTTTTGAGAGACGAAAGCACTCGAAAGTAGCTGGGCCGGTGCTACATCATTCACTTGTTGGCAAGAAATTCGGTCTCATCCAAACGTTGCTAAGCAGCAAACTGATGATCGTTTTGATCTCCCGCATCGTGCCAATACCAGTTTACCATCGCCATGAATGAATGAATCGTAGAGATGCTTATTTATCCACTGATGGAGCCAGACCTCGCTTTTCACACACACTCCACCAGATCAATAAAAAACTTTTTTACACTAAGAAAAATGATAATCGTACCGTAAGCGGCAGCAGCAGCAGCTGTTGCAGCGGCAGCATCGGACATAGCGGTCAGCGTGACCGGCCGCTCGGACAGTGTAGGCATTAAGCTTTCGGGTTTAACGCCATCCGGTAGCTGCCCCCAATTGAGCGATGCACTAAGCAGTGCAGTTGGAGAGCAGTCCAGGTGCGCTGATGGCTCTCGGCTGAAATACCTCAGCAGTAAAAAAAAAAAAAATCCGGTGTTTTTCTATTCATTACCAATGCCAGTTATTGCTCTCTAAAGCTTAACAATTTCGA